AAGATGAGTGCAGGCTCTGAGAGTGGCAGCCGCTGAGCAGTATGCCATGGCCCAAGAAGAAGTGAAATAGCCACTTGGATTCAGATGACAGGAGCCTTGAATTTCAAGAAAGAATGTAAGTGGAAATCAAGAAGGTTATGAAACCAGAGAGTAATATAATAAGATGGGATTTAAGAAACTTTCTCTTGCAGCAGTGAGCAACACCGACTGGGAGGGCTAAAGGCAGGAGACATGGGAAAGCCAATTAGGAAGTTATTGCACTTGTCCAAACTGTTGGAAATGAGGGTATGGGTGCGGTCACTGATAATGTTTACAGAAAGGAGATGGATGTAAGAGAAACTACAGAGGTAGAATAAACTTTTCTTGGCAATTTCTTAGACTTGGTTTCTGAGACAGAGAAAGGAAAATTAATTTTAAAATGCCATGTCTAGTCAAATGTAATAAAAATATATGAGGCCCCCATTAACACAGCAAAAAATCATGGAGATGTTTTTAAGACAAGTTTGATTGTGGGCATGATCAATGTGAGGTAGTCGGATAAAATCTATGTAACATACCTATCAAACTTTTATTAATTTTGAGTATGGTATTCAAGGGAGAGATATTGAGGAGATATATGTATATTTGACAGTTGTCTGAATATAAATGATAGCTGAAATTATGGCAATAAGTAACATGGAAGAGAAAAAGAAATCATAATAATAATAATATAGAAGAGGAAACCTGAGAGTAGATTCTTGGAGATTATATATTCAGAAATAATAGGAAAGGAGAGTTAGGAAGGAAATGTCAAAAGGTTAGCACAGAACAATTACACAGAAGCCAAAGAATAAATTTTCATAAAAAATGATAATACAGTAGAAAAGAGTGAGAAATGAGAAGAAGCTATTTGATTTTATAGCTAGGTGACCTTTTATATGGAAACTTTAGAAGAGTGATAGGGATAAAAGCTGTGTTTCCAGGTAGTGAACAGGCAGTGAGAAAGTGCAGATATGGAGTATAGATTTACAGAAGTAAAAGCACAGAGTAGGTTTATCAAATTATTAAATGGCAAAATATACTGTTGAATTTGTTATATTATTTACTTTATTTTAATTACTTTTGGTTGCCCCGCATGGGAACCCTATCCTATGTTTGTGGATGTCCCACTGTATAAATTTTGATGTGTGACATTAAAAGCTAGAAAGACAAGACACTCCCTTAAGCTACATCTGGCAGCTGGAGCAAGAACACAGAACTAGGGCTTATCCCTGCACACACTTTTGTCCACACCTTTGATTCTGGAGCAAGGCACAGAGACAAGTGGGGAGAACGGACAAATTCTTTCAGGATCAGCACTAGAAACACCTTATTTCTAGAAGCAGCAGAACTAAGTGCCAGCAACAGCAGCTGTTGATGGCGGTGGTGATAATGGTTCTTCTCAAGCCATGTCTGAAAGACGATCTTAGCTGCAGACCTGGCTTCACAATCCACCTTGGTTTTCCTCCATGGTTGAGTTTGCTTTTCGAGGCTTTCGGACAATTTAGAGAGCTACTCAATACGCTTTAAATACATGGTTCACCTGTATAAATCAACTGGAATTAACTTCTGTTTGTTTGTTTTCTACAGCTAAGAATCCTGATTGACACAGGGGTAGGACAGAGATCAAGCTAACTAGAATTTTAGGCCTCTGGCTTGACAATATTTGAAATGTCTGACCATGGGAAGAAAGCAAGTGAAAAGAGTAAAGGGTTAATTTTATGGAGTAATGAAAGGTCAGTGTGGACTTGAAAACTTGATGACAATAAATAATGGGTTCATAGGAACAAAAGAGTGAGAGAGGTCACAGGAGTATTTAACAGTTCAATATAGCAGAAGTCAACAGGTGATATGGCTCCATGCTTTCTAGACAACTACATGGAATCAATTTGATCTTGCTACTAACTACACACTCTTAAGGAGTGGCTGCCATACTAACAGGAAACAGAGCCATATTTGGGCATTAATTGATGCCACCGCCTCTCATCTAAATCTTTAAACAGTTTCCTTCGTCTCTTCATTCCAGTACATCCTGTGGTTCTCCCCGGCTGACTGGATATCACCTTATTTACTTTAAATTCCTTTTAAATATTTATATCCAAGTTATACTTGCATACGGTAAAAATTGAAAAGGAAAATGAAAGCATATAATGAAAAACAACAGTTTCTGGCTCTAACTCTCCCCAGCTTAGTCTTGTACCCCGGAGATAAACAGTACAAAATGACTGGGAATGGAAATCTTCAAAAATACATACAAAATAGAATTACTATAAGTTTATATGACTCTGCAAACTTCAGAAAGTGTCAAAAACAGGATTCCTGTGTTGGATGTGCTTGTTGTGTGTGCATGCGCATTTGCGTATTTGTCTGTTCATTTTTTGCATTTATTTGGTTTGGGAGTTTGTCTCTTTGACATAGACTGAACTTCTGGGCTTAGAGATAGAGACTGAAAAGTGGAAATAGCTGTATTGTAAGTAATCAAGGTGTACAGTTACTCAAAGTGTACAGTTACTCATATTTTATTTGCCTAAGTATCTAGGTGTTTTTAATTATAAGTGACTGGTCAATTTTTTAAAAAATAGTTATCTTCCCCCAAAGAAAAACTTATGAAAAATTAAATTTGGTTGCAATGTACGCAAATTAAGACTGCATCTAAATAATAATTTAGAATTTAAAACTCACAAACCATCCGGTATGGCTCAGCGGTAGAGCACATAGACCTATGAACCAGGAGGTCACAGTTTGATTCCTGGTCAAGGCACATGCCTGGGTTGCAGGTTTGACCTCCAGTGTGGGGCATGCAGGAGGCAGCAGATCAATGATTCTCTCTCATCATTAATGTTTCTATCTCTCGTTCCCTCTCCCTTCCTCTCTGAAATCAATAAAAAATATATGATTTTTAAAATTACAAACCCAGCTAACTTCAACTACCTAGATTACATAAAAAATTTTTATCAGAATATTTGAAAATTTTAATAATGCATTTTAGGATTAGGGCTATAAAATGCGATAAAAAAGGATATCTAGTTTATCAACCTTCCCAATGGAGAAACTTCTTTGAAATATTTCTAATTCAGGTCATCTAAATATTGGAAAATTCTAGTTATTAAGAAGATCTACCTTATTTTCAGCTAATTTTCTTTTATAATGTTTTCTCTTTTGTCAAAGTTATCTTGTCTGCAACAACACAGCTTAAATAGCCTTCATTTTCCAAAACCTTAAACTATTGAATAAAAGAATTATTTCTCCTAGGTACTACTCTCAGAAACTTTAATTACTTTTTACCTGAAGCCCAAAAACTGTCAGTCTCTCTTAAAATGTGGTGAGCTGAATTGAACACAATATTCCAGGCAGTATATCATTGGTACAAACACCTCACAGGATCAGCGTGTTCTGTTTCTAGCAATGCAGCCTCAGAAGGAATCAACTTTCTTTGACAAATGTAGAATCATACTGACTCTGTGGTGTCCACAGTCCTAGGTGTTTTCCTATGCACTGCTCTCCAGCTAGGTCTCCCTTTATACCACTCCATTTGCATGAATTCTGTATGTATGACTTAAAGCGGGAAATGGTGTTTTCACTGAATATTCCCCATTTAATGTTTTTAGCCATCATTCACTTGCTCATGCACAGCACAATCCAACAAATTATTTCAAAAACCACAGAATATGTTCTAGGCTTGCTTTAGGCTTGACATAATGAAGCTGCCAACAATTTTTTACTCAAGTGAAATAAATAGCTCTAAATAATAATTATGTATTTATTTAGTGTTATTATTCCTCAAGGCATTTTTCAATTATCGATTTACAACAGATCATGTAATATAGACAGAAAGAAGGTTTTGTTATGCTAGTCCTTCCCACAAGTGAAAATATACTAGCCTCACATTAATACAAAATCTTGAAAATCCTTCTAAGGAAAGCTGCTCCCCACTTGGGAGCAGGCGCAGATAACTTTGCGTTTGTGGTAGTTCTCCAGTCTGAGTTCTACATACTTCTTACATTTATCTTTTCATTCTAAATGCTTTATCAACAACAAAATTCTTTGTGCCAGCATCTTTCTTTGAATGGTCATCATTTCTCCTCATGCTTTCAGGATTTCCTTTGGGGAAATAACCAGGACAGTTATAAGAATGACCATTGGGTGTAAGAAAATTTTAGCTTTTTTGACTTAGCTTCAAAAGATAAGGGAAACAAGATGATGCTGAGTGAAATAAGCCAGTCAGAGAAAGAGAACTATCTCCATTATCTCACTCATATGTGGAATTTAATGAACCAAATAACTAATGATCAAAAATAGTCCCAGAGACATACATAGAAGCATGAGCAGACTGTTGAATCTCAGAGGGAAGGCAGGGGAGGGTGGGTGGGAAGAGATCAACCAATGAACTTGTATGCATATATGCATAGCCCATGGACAGACAATGGGGTGGGAGGGTCTGGGGGGTGCAGGGGGGGGGGTGGCGCAGGAGCGGGCTGGAAGAGGTGAATGGGAGGAAAAGGAGGACCTATGTGATACTTTCAGCAATAAATACTTTTTAAAAAGAAAAAAGACAAGGGAAACAATAATTGAGCCTCCTCCAAGGTGCAGGCACTAGACTGAAATTCCACACATATCTCATTTTAGTCTTTTAAGATCTTGTAAAAGCCATATTATTTTCGCTTTATAAATTTAAAAAAAATAGCAGAAATGGAAAACAGAGGTTAAGTATTGTATTAGGCACAATACCTAAATGTAATTCAGCTAAGATTCAAAAGCAGATTTTTCTAATTCTATATTCATTCTCTCTCCTCTGAAAGAGCTTCAGTTAGTGAGATTCATTATGCTTTTTAGGGAATTCAGAATTCTTTTAAGCACCCAAAAAAATGTTGGCTCTCGACATAGAGAGATTCTGCAGGGACATTAGAACTCCGGTTTCCATAAGTAGTAGAGCTAAAGAGCTTTAAATTCGAACACTGTTTTAAGGTAAAGAAACAGACTGATTATGTTATTTCCTTGTTTATAGTAAAGTTGAACAATATTCACAAATTCAGTTCCATGGCCCATTACAGACAATTAAGAGACCCCAGAAGACTTCACAGAATTCAGATGCAGTGGGTAGTGGAGTTGCACAAGGCATCTGCTGCACTGCCATCGCTCGCTTGTGAATGTGGTATCTCAGTCCACCTACTTCTTCCAATTTCAAGATGAACATGTTACCCATCCTACTCATCCTTTCATCTCCCAACTGTTTGAGTTCCTTTGCAAAGATGCAGCCATGCGGTGATATACTTTATGTTGTCTTTTGCCTTTCCTGGGTTCAAAAACAGCTCAGTCTGTTCAAAATTTCCATATCTTGAAAGAATGTATAACAAGGCTTTTGTGCGTCAATGGTATTCTTTTTTACAGATGGCTGGCTTGCTGACCAGCTGTAGTTTGATAGTTATTGCAGTTAGTTTACTTAGAAAATGAAGACTTTCCTCTGTAGCACAAGAGTATTTTACACAAGATATTTTACAAGAGTAGCTTCCAAAATCCAATGCCCTTCTAATTGCACTGGCATACTCAGATGACCATGGCTGACCTTGCTCATAATACCTGATTCAGAAGTGCAGGCACTAGCCTGGGTTGAAGAACCCCTTCAGAGCACATGGTAATCAACAGTCAAGTTAAGAATTCTACTTCTTCACAACTATAGTGAGAGAGGAAAGGACCATTTCATCCTTGGAATGGAGATCAGAACACCACACCCTGATCATTCTCAGAAAGAGAAGAATATTTAATCTACCTTGTCGCTCATGTACTTAGCTCGCATGCAAGGAGCACCAGGACCTTGGCTTCAAGAAGTCTCTAGTTACCAGGAACATGGTGAGAGGCGACTCAGTTGTTCTTTTACATCACATTGCTCAATTTCCTGTCAAATAGAAATTATTGTTTCTGTCATTACTATGATACAATAGAAATATGTATAGTGTGTTGTCAGGACTGCTAATGACAGTGACTGAAAAAATTATCTAAATTGAATGTCTGGAGGGATACCAAGAAAACCCCATGACTCAAAACCATTTTTCCACCCAGATGCTACACACTTAGAATGTCATTAATTTTGTGTTTCTTTCTTTGACCTGTATTTGTATTCTCAGGATTAACCACATGTTTAATATGTTTAACATAAAGACTTTTCAGATTGCCTTTCTCTGAATAGGAGAAACCTAGAATTAACAATTTTATGTAATACTAACATGGAAATAAGTTTTTGTATAATTATTAAGTGAAAAAGATAAATAGAAAATTACATGTATATGCACATGTATGTATCTGTATATTATGATCACAACTATTTAAGATAAAAAACATAGAAAAATACTAGAAAGAAATACAACAAAGTAGTAACAATCAGTTTTATTAGGAGTGTGGATTCTTATACTAGTATTTACTGGTTCTGTATTTTCTAAATATATATATATATAAATATATATATACTAGAGACCCAATGCACGAAATTCGTGCAAGGGGCTCGGCCCTTGCAGCCACAGCTTCATCCAGAAGGTTGTTCGGCTGTCTGGTCTAATTAGCATATTACACTTTTAATATATATATGTATATAGTAGTAATCCTCACCCAAGGATATTTTTTTGATCAATTTTCTTGAGAGAATGGAATGGAAGGGAGGGAGGGAGAGGAGGGAAAAAAAGAAAAAGAGAAACATCCCTGTGAGAGAGAGACATCAATTGGTTGCCCTGCGCACACTCCCTGACAGCTGGGATCAAACCTAGGTTTAGGTACACACCCTTGGCCAGGAATTGAACCTGCCACCCTTCAGTTCCCAGGCCAACACTCCAACCACTGAGCACCACTGGTCAGGGCTTATGTATAGTTTTAATTGATTTTTATTTTTTAAATATATTTTTATTAATTTCAGAGAGAAAGGAAGTGGGAGAGAGATAGAAACATCAATGACGAGAGAGAATCATCAACTGGCTGCCTTCAGTATGCCCCACACTGGGGATTGAGCCTGCAACCCGGTCATGTGCCCTGCCTGGGAATCGAACCGGGACCTCCTGATTCATAGGTCAATACTCAACCACTGAGCCATGCCAGCTGGGCCTAACTAGATTTTTTAAATGATAGTAAGCTCTGGAAAAATATGTTTAGTATGCATGTCACATTGTTCGAAAGGGTACAGCGAAAGACTGGCACGAAAAGCCGACTCCTAGGCACTCTCATTGCTCCTCCTCCTATAAATTGCTTGTCTGGCTCTCCCACAGTTGTTAGCATCTAGGATGCCCTCCCACTTCACTTACAATTTTGTCTGCGATGTGGCGCCCTGATCTTGGTCAGTTCTCATGCTCTACATTCAGAGTTGTTTAGGGACTTCTCTGTATCTTTCCCCGTGTCTGCAAGTGCTTCCTTTCTACATGTCACTTTCACATCCCTCCCTATTCAATTTTTGTCATATCTCCCTTTCATTCTTTTAAGAAGTCACCTTTCCCCAGAAAAGGTATTTGAAATATCTTTGCACAAACATCAGTGCACTCTTCTTTGAAAGATTTCTCTTCCGTGGGATTTTATGTTCCCCATCCTGGACATTGATTTGTTCCCAGGTGGGATAGATGGGCAAGCACTTTCCCACATCACTCTGATCTTACTGGGCATGTGTCTACATTGCCTTTGTCCAGTCCCTTCCCCCAGCGATCAGCGGGAACAGACTTGGAGAATGCTAAATGCAGCTTTCTGACAAAGCTGTATAAATGGTCTGCCTACATTAATTAGCCTTCCCTTTCCTCCTTCCCTGTTAAATAATAATCAGGTTATTACAATGGCATCAATATGATGGTGAGACTGGGGGAAGATGCAGCTGGAGGGAGAAAATTTGGTTCCTTACTGTCCTTTGGAAACATATAAAATCTTTTGGAAGCTTCTTACTTTTAAAATATATATGTATATTTTTTTATTCATTTCAGAGAGAAAGGGAGAGGGAGAGATAGAAACATCAATGATGAAAGAGAATCCTTGATTGGCTGCCTCCTGCATGCCCCACATTGGGGATCAAGCCCACAACCTGGGCATGTGACAGGGAAACAAACCGTGACCTTCTGGTTCATAGGTCAATGCTCATCCACTGACCCATGCCAGCTGGGCAAGATTCTTACTTTTTGGATCACAACTATAAAATGTTTTAAGTTTCTGCTGGACAGTGGGCTCGGGCTTAATTATGTTATCTAGGAATTTCAGTGAACCTGGGAGACATACATAACAGACGCCATCTGCTCTTTAACATTAATGTGATTTGGAGGTAAAAAATGGAAAGAAAGATAGACTCCATGTAGATCCACACACTATTTACATGATAGCTGAATAATGAAACCAGAGGAAAACTGTGGTGGTACAAGGAACTCAAAGCTTTTCAGCGAGCTATGCTGAATTGGGTAGTTTAAAGCAGGAAAACTTTATATAGCAAAAGGGGAAATAATATAAAAATACCTCCTTATCTCCTTTAAAATGGAAGAGAAAAAACAAATATCATACTTGTCTATTCCTGAGAACAAGTACGATCTGTTAGGCTTCATGTATCAATAGGGAATAATACAGAATCTACATTTAAAACAGGAGCCTCTTGCAAAGTACAACATGGTCATTTTGTACTTTCATCTTATACGAGGTATGTTTGTTAATGTTAAAGTCATACCCTCAAAATATTTCTAAAAAATTTTATCTGTGAATAGAAATTATTATAAAGTGGAAATGGAAGTAGTTTACTTCTGAAAGTCAGCAAAATAGTTCCAGCCATCAGTTACAATAAATATGACGCTTAATATTTCCTGAAATAGGTTAGTGGACAGAGGAAGACATAAGAGAATAAAATGTAATGGAGAATTATTCTGTCTTCTCTTAACTTTCCCATATTCACTTGCAAATTCATCATTGAGCTTTGAAAGGCGATAACGTGATGTGAAACCACTGGATCGACTTTGCCCAAAAGAGTTAAAGTAGCTCTCAGCTTCCCCCGAACCAGCATCCTCAATAAAGCAGAGTGATGCATGGCACAGCCCCAGCTAACCTCACAGTCTCGCTGCATCTGAGAAGACCAACACAAATCAGATGAGAAATTGAGATGCTGACCCCAAACTCCAGATGACAATGCCTGCTTTCAAATTCACAGTCTTTCTTCATACAATTCACCCTTGCTCTCCTAATTTTAATGAAATCTTAAAAGAAATATATATTATTCTGAAAATAAGATTTCTGGTTGCATTTGGCACTTTACACCCTTAAGGTTTCTGAAAATTGCTAAATATATCAGCTGCTTTATTAGCTTTCAGGAGAGACGTGAGAAATCTTCAACCATGCCCAGTATTTCTTTTGAATCATAACCATAGATTTTCCTTTCCTTTCTGTTAACTCTAACTCTAGTAGTCCCTTGACTTAAACACCTGATTTAATGCCTAACAATGACTTCTTAAGAGGGCATGGTATCTGAAAATTTTATTGGTATTCTATCATTAACAGACTTCTTTGATTTGTACTTTAAGGCTTTTAAGAAGTTTGCCTTACTTATAATATGAGCTCGCTTTAAAAATATTTATTTATATTGAAGTATAAGTGACATGCAATATTATATTATTTTCAAAGTGTGCAACATAATGATTTGACATTTGTATACATTGTGAAATAATCACAATAGGTGCTCTTGCTATCTGTCACTACACAAAGCTTGCACAATATTTTTGCCTATATTCCCCATGATTACATATCAATGAGTTATTTATTTTATAACTGGAAGTTTGTATGAACTTCTTCAACCTTCTCACTCCCCCTCCCCCTACACACACACAAACCTGTCCTCTCTGGCAACCGCAAATCTGTTCACTGTATCTATGAGTCTGGTTTTGTGTTGTTTTGCTTTTTGTTGTCGTCGTTAATCCTCACCAGAGGATATTTTTTATTTTTCCATTGATTTTTAGGGAGAGTAAAAGAGAGAGGGAAAGACAGAGAGAAACATTGATGTGAGAGAAACATAACCATTGGTTGCCTCCTTCACAAGCCCTGAGGAGCAGTCCCAGTCCCGGTGGGGGAGGAGCCTGCAAACAAGGTACATGCCCTTGACTAGAATCAAACCTGGGACCCTTTGGTCTGCAGGCTGTTGCTCTATCCACTGAGAACATTGGCTGGCTGTTAGTTTTGCTTTTAAGATTCCACATGTAAGTGAAATCATACAATATTTGTCTTTCTATATCTGACTTATTTCACTCAGTATGATACTCTCAAGTTTCATCTATGTCATCACAAATGTCAAGATTTCATTCAGCCCCAACCGGTTTGGCTCGGTGGATAGAGCATTGGCCTGTGGACTTAAAGGTCCAAGGTTCGATTCTGGTCAAGGGCATATACCTTGGTTGCAGGCACATCCCCAGTGGGGGGTGTGCAGGAGGCAGCTGATTGATGTTTCTCTCTCATCGATGTTTCTAACTCTCTATCCTTCTCCCTTCCTCTTTGTAAAAAAAAAACAACAATAAAATATATTTTAAAAAAGATTTCATTCATATCTATGTTTATATATAAACATATTTTTAATCCATTCATCCATCAATGGACACTTGGGTTGTTTCCATATATTATCAATTGCAAATAATGCAGCAGTGAACATGGAGTGCATATATATTTTTTAATTAGTGTTTTTTATTTTCCTTGAATAAATACCCAGAAATAAAACTGCTGGATCATATGGTAGTTTTTTAATTTCTAAGTAACCTTCATACTGTTTTTCATAATGGCTGAATCAATTTACATTCCTACCAGCAGTGTACAAATGCCCCCTTTTCTCCACACCCTCACAGTACTTATTTTTATCTTTTTACTAGTAGTACTTTGACAGGTGTGAGATGATATCTCATTATGGTTTTGATTTGCATT